CCCTTGAGCTTCATCCCGGCTGCTGCTGCCGACATGGAGCAGCAACCCCGCAGTGATGCCCTGTCCTGCATCTGCCCCAGCAGGTGGCAGCTCCAGGGCTTCCCCTGCCAACATTTCTTCATGTTCAGTGATTTCTCCTCCTGCAACTTTCTCTCCCTTTGGATCCATTTAAAGCACATCTCTGTGCCATAAAATTACCCCAGTGTCTTGTAGAGTGAGCACAAAGCTACAGGAACTCTTCATGTTCACAGATGTTGGGAAGACTGGTGCCTGTGCCTCACCCCTCAGCTTCTGGGTGTCTCTCCCTCATTGTTTGACTTAAAAGTGGTATTTTTGAGATAAAGATAATGAAGTTGGAGAGGAAGTGTGCAATGGCTGAGGTCTGGGAAGCAGAGCCTGAATGAGATGTTATAGCAGCTGTTGGAGATGTCCCTACCACAGGAAAGCTGCAGAAAGTCTTCATCAGTGGATCAATCTTCCACTTCTGGTACCTTCAGAGAAGGAGGGATGATTTATTTATTTTGTTTTAAATCAATTTCTGGCTCAATATTTTCCTGGGTTTGCATGAAGGCCAGTGTTCATGCTGGTATTTCAAGGAGCAGTTTATTCAGGTGCTTGGGGTTTTTTGTTTGTTTGTTTGCTTTTTTGTTAAATAATGATGGAGGAGGGGAAAAAAATCCTGGGGAAAAAAAAATTCCACTTTGCATCTTCAAACAAAGGCTCCAACTGAAAGAGATGACATGGAAAGCAGCAAATCCTGGGCACAGAGGGAAGCTTTGATGCCCGAGGGAGTTCACCAAAACAATGGAAAAAGCCTCATGCTCCTGGGAGGTGGCTCTGAGAGGGGACCAGAAGCTTCACTGAGACTTCCTGCTATCTGCTCAGAAACAGACAAACATTTTCAGGCCACTGGGACATCACATAGAAATAATTCCAGCAGAAAGGGGCACCTTTTGTGCTCAGTCCTGCCCTGCATCCAGCCTTTGCTGGCTCAGCCCCCACCTCTTCTCCAGTCGCTCCACTTCTGCAGCACCACCTGGCTCATTGCTCCAGGTATGGAAGTGGTGAAAAAGGTTGTATCTGCTCAGAGACGCTGTCCCAGAGCTGGAAACTCTGAGATCAGTCAGCAGGTTAAGGACAAAACTCTCCTTCCTTCATTTCTGGAAGGAGAATTTGCGGGTAAACTGAGGGAAATGAGAGCTGAGGCACCAAATGAGCACTTACTGAGCTGAGCAAGAAAGGGCTTTTCCTTCTGCATTTTTTCTGGAATGAATACTGTGTTATGGGTCAAAAGAGGGTGCTGAGGAACTGCTATATTGACTGTAAGTCTGTCTTGGGGCTTCTTCCCCCCTTCAGCTAATCTGGAACAGCCCTTCCAGTTCTGCCCAGGCTCCTTCATTTCCCTTGGGAGCAAAAGTTTG